GACTGGGCAAGGACTGGGCCCCCAGAGGGGTCAGCCAAGGAGACTGGGACCGGTGCAGGAAGCGGTGTGAGCTCAGTACTGTCACGAAAGAAGCAACGGGAAGCACCTGAGTCAAGGGTGAAGGTGTGACAGGCCTCAGCCGGTGCGGTACCTGAGAGAGGAGTCTGTGTGGGTGCTGTACCTGAGAGAGCAGACTCGAAACCAGCCGGGACAGCACTGGGGGGAGCAAGTACAGGGGGTACCATACCAGAGAGAGCAGACTCACTAGTACCCAGGGCAGCGGGCTCTATACCTGGGTCAGGCGGCACACACAAGTAACAGTCTCCCTCGGCACTAACAGTCAATGCATACATGGCAGCAATAATAGCATCATAGTCAAGAGCAAAGACATCAACACCAGCCCTCATGAGCTCAGCCCAGCGGGGGCGCTCAACATCCGCACCCATCTCCTCACGCCAAGCGTCGTCAAGGCGGGAGAAGCAGCGGTACGGGGTGTGGAACCTCCCACACGTCTGTCCCTTGCGGTCACCTGTGCGAATGACATAAGAACAGCGGGCACTGGCCCCCGACGTCCCACGCTGAGCAAGCCACTCACGAAGCTGCTGGGTCGTCTGGGGACGCTGCTGCTGCTGGGAGCTCTGGCCCGAGCCAGTGCCTCCACTCCGACCTCCACCGCCACCACTACCACCGCTCCGACCGGCACCGCCACCACCGCCACCACCGCCACCGCCGCCACCGCCGCCGCCGCCACTACTGCCACTGCTTCCTCCGCCGCCCCCGTCTCCACCACCGACCCCACTCCCACCAGCGCTCCCGCCACCGCTCCCTCCAGCACCGCCTCCCCCCCCACCTCCCCCACCTCCTCCCCCCCCAGCGCCACCACCACCACCCTTGCCCCCCTTGCCCTTGCCGGTGCGGCGCCTCCCACCAGGAGCAGAAGCAGCGCCAACAGACTCAGCACCAAGGAAGTCAACAGCAGCAGCAGCAGCGTAGGAGGGAGCGAGGGGAGAGGGAGAACACCCCTCAAAGATGGGGGTGCGAGGAGCGCCACGAGCAGCACCGACAGCTACAATGCTCTTTTCGGCCGCGAGCAGGTGCTCCTCTAGGAGGGCGACTGTGAGCTCAGTGGGACAGCGAGCAAGGAAGTGGTCTCGAACTGAGCGGAGGGTGTCAGGGAGACGAGTGACTATAAAGTGGAGTGTCCAGTACAGTGGAGGGGGGTTCTTAGCGCAGAACTCGGTGGGAAGGGCGGCACGCAGGCGAGCATCACTAGTGCGAAGGTGGGTGATAAGATCGGCGACTGTAGCAAAGGTGGACAGCTCAGGGAACAGGTACGGCAGCATGAGGCGGCTAAGCTCGGCTGTGGCAGGCGAGGAGTAGCGAGCGACGACAGCGTCGTACAGGGCCTTAGCGGATTTGCAGTCGCCAAAATGCTCTAGCTCAGCTAACGGCAGGTGACTGCGAATGGCTAGGCGAGCAGCTGCGTCACGAGTCTGCCAGTGGGAACGAACACTAAGCTCAGCTGTGGCAGGAGGGGCAGGCGCAGCACCAGACGCGTAGTCATAGAGCGACACATGCTCCTTGCTATCGCTCAGGAGGAACAGCTGCAGGTCATCTAGCCAAGCGGTGAACCGCACAGGGCGGCCCTCAGCATCGAACGACAGCACGCGGATAGAAGCCATAGCGACAGTGTGACAGAGTAACGCAAGATGCCGCAGCAGGGGAAGGCGACAGTGCACGAAAAGAGAGCAGCGGGCGAGGCTGGCGCTACGGGCAGGCGGCGCTGCAAGCGGTCAGCGCGACGGGAGGGCGACGCTGCGAGTGGGCAGCGCGGCGGACGGGCCGGGAAGCGGGCAGCGCGGCGGGCAGGCGGCGCTGCAAGCGGGCAGCACGGCGGGCGGGCGACGCTGCGAGGCGGGCGGGCCGCGAAGCGGGCAGCGGGCGGGCGGGCGGGCTGCGAAGCGGGCAGCGGGGCGAGCGGGCTGCGATGCGGGCGGGCCGCGAAGTGGGCAGCTAGCGGGCGGGCGGGCTGCGAAGTGGGCGGGCCGCGAAGCGGGCAGCGGGGCGAGCGGGCTGCGAGGCGGGCGGGCCGCGAAGCGGGCAGCGAGCGGGCGGGCGGGCTGCGAAGTGGGCGGGCCGCGAAGCGGGCAGCGAGCGGGCGGGCGGGCTGCGTAGTGAGCGGGCCGCGAAGCGGGCAGCGAGCGGGCGGGCGGGCTGCGTAGTGAGCGGGCCGCGAAGCGGGCAGCGAGCGGGCGGGCGGGCTGCGAGCGGGCGGCTCGGCGAGGGGCGCGCGAGGGCGCTAGTGAGGGGCGCGCGAGGGCGCTAGCAAAGGGGCGCGCGAGGGCGCTAACGAAGGGGCGCGCGAGGGCGCTAACGAAGGGGCGCGCGAGGGCGCTAACGAGGGTGCGCGCGAGGGCGCTAACGAGGGGCGCGCGAGGGCGCTAACGTGGGCGCACGAGGGCGCTACGAGGCTAGGGCACGGGGTAGCGTGGTAACCGCATGCGAGCGGTGGTGGGCCCTTAAAAAAAAAACGGTCGGTAGGTCCTAGGGACCTCCTGCTCTGAATACCATGTCAGAATCACTAGGCAAGAATGGTCCATTGAATGAAACAGTTGGGTACAAGTAGCAAACCCTAGTTGGGGTTGTACCCCATATTGGCTACCCCACTACAGCCTACAAGCATAATACAGTTTAACACAGTACTGGGCAATCCGTCGCTGTACCCTCCTTATTCATCCGAGCCCGATCGATAGCGTGAATCGGTACTGTGACTCGGTGAGGGTCGGTGCGGTTGGGCGAGCAGGCAGTCTCGTCAGTAGTTGGCCCGATTCCTACTGACTGCTGGCGTTTCCCTGCCTTGGAGACTCCCTCCCCTGCTCTGCTCCGCGGCGCCTCAGCTCCTCTGGGCATTCACTCTTGCGATGGCCCGGCCTATTGCAAGCAAAGCAGCGCCCCTTAAACGGCGCGGCAGCTGCATTCGTCGCAACGGCGTGTACGGTGGCGTGCTCGATCGGTCCCCGAGGACGATGTCCGTAGTAGGACCCCGGTCTCGGACGGCGCAAAATGTCGATTTTCTCGGCGAGCGCGAGAATCTCGTTGAAGTTCGAGAGCCCGCGTAGCATGATTTCGTGCGAGATGTCCGGCTTCAGCCCTCCGACGTAACGGTCCACCCGCTCCGCCTCGTGCATGTAGCCGACTTGCTCGCATAATGCGAGAAAACCGCTCGTGTAGTCTTGAACCGACCCGAGCTGCCGCCAAGTGCGCAGTTTCTGACGCGCCGAAATAGAAGCCGCGATCGGCTCGAAGCGCGCCCGAAGCCTTGCAAACCACGCATCCCATGTGCTGTACTGGGCGGTTTCGCAGAATTAACTCCAAGTGACAGCTGGACCCGTGGGCCCTTCCTCTTGCGACGGTGGCTCGTAGGCGCGTGGCGACGTCACGATGACTCGCCACCAGTCCATGGCGGGGCCCCTCAGCAGCGAGACGGCGTATCGGATCTTCGCTGCGTCCGACTCGACGTAGTTTGCGTCGAAGAATACGTTCATCGTGAAGACCCACGACTGAACCGTCGGACCTCCACGCTGACTTGGGTCGAAACAGGGCGGGCACTGCGGCTTGAGTGGCATTGGTGCCATGATGGCCTGGTCGCCACTTGTCGCCGCGAACTCCACGTGCCGACGGGCTTCACGAGGCTCCCGCGGGCTTAGCGCGACCCTGTTTCTCCCCATGCCCGGCATCGGTTGGGCGGCGCCATCACTGGCTGCGCCTGAGCCCTTTCCCACGCTGTCGTTCAGTGTTGGTGTGTCTGATGAAATGACGAGCAACTCCTCCGATTGTGCAGATGCATTTGCAGGTGCGTGTGGTGGCGCCGGAGTATTTACCATAGATTGCTGACGCGCGGAGTCACGTTCCGCCGTGAGCGTCGCAACTTCGAGCGCCGACTCTTCAACTTGGCGTACCAGACGGTCAAGTTGTTCCTGCTTCAATGTCGCGAGCGTGAATTCGGCCATGGCGGGGGTGTCGGGCAAGCTCAGCGAGAGCCTCTGTCATGGCCATGCGTGCTTACGAGAGAGCATTAAGAGCGGCAGTGCTGTGTCGCTGAGAGACGTCTACCCCCCCCAAAAATTGAGATAGTGGGGAAGCGAAGGTGTGGGTGCGGTCCGAGAAGAGATCGTAGGCTTTGAACCAAGTGTTACGAGTGCAATTGAGTGAGCGAACGAGAATTGCACTATCGAAGCAAGAGTACAATGAGCGAAGGCATGAGCGAAGAATATATAGCGAAGCTATAGTGGTAACGGTAATGGACTGTGGTTGTCGCGCGATGGGCCTGGGACTGAGGTTTGGAGAAATGTCGAAGCGGAGGCCCGGAGCGCGGGTTACCAGCCGAGCCATGAGGTCGGGGTGCGACGTGCGAAGGTGGCGAGAGGATTGTCGATGCGAGGGTTGCGAGTGGTAATGGTGCTGACTGTGGTGCTACAGTGGCGTACGCGCTGAGCAGGGACGCGAAGTAAGGAAAAGGAATTTTCCTTACATATAGACACTGTGAGCAATGTTTTCTAACGACCTCCTATCAAGAATCCTCCTATCAAGAATGTAGTTTGACATCGTGTACGTTTTAAAACGCCAGTTATCAAGATTGGAATGATTGAGCGAACCAATAGAAATGGTCGCAGGGTGTCGCGTGAACGTGATGACTTCCCGGAACACGGTTCCCTCTAACGAACAGACGTCAGGCCAGGGTATGCGGCAGTCACCAATTCGTGCCATGCTGGACGATGTGGCGGTCGTGCGCTGCGCGCGAACGTGCACGGAATGCAAATTTTGGGAGGAATTTTCACACCTGGCGCCAGGCGACACGTATACCACCCCCAGCACGTCAAGCACTTCACGAGCCCTCTCATCCAAACACACATGACACAGAGCACCCAAATCGCCATCATGCTCTCTATACATTGGTAGCTCCCATTCCTTGGCACGCAAAGCACCGTACATCCAACAACATGGCCCGAAAGCGTAAAGTATTCAGCCAGGCAGACGAACAATCATGGCGTCCGGAGGATCTTGCATATGTGGCGTGGATGAACGCCGAACTCGCGAATGGTAGACCCACTGCAAAGCCGTTGCGCAATGTGGGCCAGCCCCCCGCAAAGTCACCCGTCGCACCTCGCGCCACGCCCGTGACCAGTAATGTCGGTCTGCAAGTCGAATATGACACTGACGAGGACGACACGGACAAGGACACTGCGGATGGCGACGACGACGAGGATTTCGAGTTCGAAGAACCGGACGAGGCGTGGTGCGGCGACGCGGAATATAGTGGCCAGCGTGATGATCGCCCCGTGGCGCCGGCCGCGGCAGCAGAGAAACGAGGCTCCAGCAGCCGCGTCGAGGCTCGCGGGAAGGGAAAGGGCAGTCACCCTGCTGGCGCGAAGAATGCCGACTGTTTGGGCACAGGCCCGAAATCGGAATGGACGGCCAAGGAGTCCACCATATTGTGCGCCGCGCGATGGTTCACCAAGGAGGAGTTGAACCAAATGACGGGAAAACAGGGGTCGCAGTATTGGTTGCGCCTCATCGAACACATTAAGAAGCAGCATCCCGATTGGTGCAGGAATGCCACCGCCTGCGGCAATCAGTGGAAGCGACTTAAAGCGCTGTGGAAGCAGATCGAGATTGGGGATTCGGCATCTGGAGGCGGAATGGTGATAAAGCCTCCGTGGTGGCAGTGGATGGTGCTGTTCTACGAAGACACTGCTGCAGCCGAGCCTCACGCTCTGGATGGTGGCGGTGCAGTTAACGTGACAGTGGACCCTGGCGTCAAGGTTCCAAAGCCGCCGACTACTGCTGCCACAACAACGCCTGGTATGTGTGCTGAATGCTAGGCCAATTTATAGCAAGTTGAAAATCCGAGCGTGTTAAAATTCGGAATGTTATGTAATGTCGCTTACACCACAACAGAATGACTGCTTGTGCTGCTATTACACCTCTATCCCGTAACCCTTCCCGCTCTTATCCCTAGTTCGTAACACCCCGCCCAGTGCACGACGCCGTATTAATGAGACGGCGACCATGGCAGCTGCTCAACTGTTGGCCGACACATTCACAAAGTGCTCCCAGGAAGGCGTAACACAAATCACCGGAGTGATACGCGAGTGGATGGCCTCCCAACAGTCAACAACAAGCCGTCCCCTCAACTTTGGAAGCAACCCAGCGGATGAATCAGGGCCGACCGGCGACAATACCGACGTCGCTGATGAAGTCACTGACCATGTGGAGGTGTGGCATCGCCGCTCCGACGTCGCTTAAGGTATTCCACATGCAGCGCCTCCCCGAGCCTCTTCCTCCTCTCCTTGAGATCGTGTCTAGTGACGGCAAGATCGGCGCACCAATTATACCGTGCAAGTTCTCCTCTCGTCCACCATGGGTCTTGGTTGATCAGCCGCGCAGCCCACGTGTGATTGATTGTTCTCATCCTGGAAGTTGCCATCTTGATCCCCATGTTGTGCAGTATGACAACACAGCTGGCGCTTGCAAGGACCCGCCATAACGCGCACTCGTGACGGCCGGCAAATAGGCGGTATCGTCCTTTCAGCGCACCAATGGTTCGCTCCACGGGCATGCGAGTCGCGGACTGGCAGTAATTGAAGGTCTGCTCCCACTCGAGCATGAGGCGGCCAGTGGGAGCATGCAATGGCGTCAAGCAGTAGCTACGGAGCGGGTAGGCGGCGTCTCCTACCAGCTGGTACGGTGCGAGGTCACCTCTTTGTAGTCGCTCGTAGAGGCTAGACAGGACGAACACCCGCTGGTCATGGGCGGTGCCTGGATAGCCTATTAGGTAATCCCATATGGTTCCTTTAGCGTCGCATGTCACTTGTAGCTGCACGGCATATTGTGATTTTCGCGTGTAATATTCTGCCCGATGCCCCTCCATCCCCCGAATCTGGACATGTGTGCCGTCAATAGCACCTACAACCATTGGCACCCCTTTAATACTCCGGAACTCTTCCGCCATGTCACGCATTTCATCCTGTGTCGGGAAACGTACCCAGGCCGCCTTGAACACGGTGGGAAAGTTTAAGAGGAAGAGGTCTACGAGGTGATGGCATAGGGTTTTTGGCACACCGAACCAGAAAGCGAGGTCCACGTACGCCATCGCGCTTGCAAAATACTTGATTGGTATGAGCACGGCCACTCTAATTGGAATGCGATGGCGCTGGATGACGTGGTTGAGCACGTGAGCCATTCCTTGGCATACGTATTCCAGAATAGCGCGATTAATGCGGAACAGGTCGATGAACACCTCCTCGGGCATGGTCGCCATTTCGTCCTCCCACACGCCTAAGCGGCGCCGCCGTAAGCTTCGGTTTCGAGCACGTAATTCACTCCTCGTCTCTACGATGGTATCTTCTTCCGCATTGCTTATCTGCTCGAGAAACTTCATGCAAGACTGGATGGCACTATTTAGGAATGTGTCGTAATAAAAGGCGTGCCATACTATTAACAACCTAGGCAGGAAAGGAACGTCCGTCATAGTCGGGAGTGGTAGGCACGATTGGCAGGATTGCCGTAAGCTGCGAGTGTTTGTACTATTTCTACGAATAGACGTGAGGTTGTGGCGTGCATGGGCATGTGTTTGCGAGATGTTTGTTGACTTGTCCCCTTGGCACACTACGTGTTTACGTGGTGCTTTTTTTATTTGAACCGGAGCGCCTGATCAAGCTGGGTCGCAGCGTGCCACATCAGCGTTTGTTTTGGGTCGCACATGTGGGGAAACCGTCAAGTTTTGTTGATAGGAGGTTGCGCGAGCTTGCAAATTTACAGGCGAAAACTACATTCTTGATAGGAGGATTCTTGATAGGAGGTCGTAGGAATACGCCCTAATGAATTCAATATTACAAGTTTACAACACATCTATTTATGATGAAAAATACCAATTCGCTACAGCATCACGCAAAAACACCCCAGCTTCTTTCATGGTGGCCCAAGCACCATCCACCATTATCCCATGCTTGTTAGACCAAGCAAGAAACGCCTTCAGCTTCTTATCCTCCATGCGACCTACGGTCGTCCACATTTTCTGCGAGTATGCAAGAACAGCCCTACTTGCCGGGAGCGTACACTTCCTATTCGTATTCCGAAATGCGAGATCCTTATATGGTGTGCTTGGAATGGACCGTCTCAGGTTAGGCATAGCCATTATTTCATGTAAGCAATCATAAGTGAATGTCATGTTACTTGCCGGCAGCTGGTTACCAAGTTGCAGGGCCCTGGCGTCGAACAATGAGTTGACGATGAAGAAGGGAGATCGGACGAACGGGAGGGAGTACTCTGGGAAGAAGCAGCGCCACTTTTTGGTCTCGTTAGTGGCTGTTGGGGGAGGGAGTGGCAAGTTGAAGAAGAGAGAATGAAGGACAATGGAAAGAACGGGAGGGAGTACTCTGGGAAGAAGCAGCGCCACTTCTTGGTCTCATTAGTGGCTGTTGAGAGGGAGAGGCAGGTTGAAGAATTGACGATAAGGGACGATATGATGGACGGGACAGAGGGCATGGTTGAAAGCAGATTTCGGGAGGGATGGAGAATGGAGACCGAGGCAACACACTGACACAAAATGCTTTGGAAAATATCAAGCGTTTTAAGGGGAGGGGGATGAAGGCTAAATAATGCGATGTGACGTTGATGGAGGTTTTACCTGGAAAGGAAATCAGGACTGCAAGTGTTGCTATTTTGGTCAGCCATCGTGCCACACATGTTTTTGACAGCAATAATACCCCGTCAGGTATGGCCGCTCCATGAAAAAACTAACACTATTTATCACAAAATGCTTTGCTCTTATGTACACGTGCCAGCTCAGCTCAGTCAGCTGGGTACGGCCACGGTGGCTGAGCCACGTCAGCATCCAACTCCTGGCTGGAACAAGCACTTCATGGAAGCACTGCCACTCACCTCGGCTGCATCCGGGGTTGCCAACAAAATCATGCAGCTCTGCCACTTGCTTGATTTTTCTTGCGTTTTAAGACGCCTCACAACCAGCCACTCACTGCGAAACCCCTCCCACTCACCTCTGAAGGCACTTGCGCTCACCTCTGCTGCACCGAGGGTTGCCGACAAAATCATGCAGCTCTGCCACTTGCTTGATTCTCTTGCGGAACGCTGATTGCTTGTTCATGTCCAATGCATCTGCACAGCCATGGGTGGCGCAGAACAACCGAGTCAACGCGAGTCAACAAAGTCAAGCAGAGTCAGACATGTGGTCCACACGAAGTCATGCAGCTCCGCCACGTTCTTGATCCTCTTGCATAATGCTGATTGCTTGTTCGCGTCCAATGCATCCGCACACAAAGGGGTGCGACAGAATCAATAGAGTCAACCAAGTCCATAGGGTCAAACAGAGCCCACAGGGTCAGACAGAAGAGAGTCCGCTCAAAGGGAGACGGTCACCCGGCTCGAAGAGAGTCAGCCAGTTTTCGATTTGGTGAGAAAAAACGAGCATTCATGAGACACTTGGTGGTGGAAGGGGTGCCAGTGCTATCCGTGAAAGTGGGACAAAGTGATTACCAGGAGAAGCCTGAGTCTATGAGACACTTGGTGGTGGAAGGGGTGCCAGGGTTGGAGGCTTGGAGGGTGAAGTCCATGAGCCACATGGAGGCTGAGGAATGAGGGGAAGCAAGAGTTATCCATGAAAGCAAGGTGAGGAGGAGAGTAGGCTGACCGAGGAGAGTAGGCTGACCGAGGAGAGTAGGCTGACTGAGGAGAGTAGGCTGACCGAGGAGAGTAGGCTGACCGAGGAGAGTAGGCTGACCGAGGAGAGTAGGCTGACCGAGGAGAGTAGGCTGACCGAGGAGAGTAGGCTGACCGAGGAGAGTAGGCTGACTGAGGCGAGGAAGAATCCCGAATCCATGAGGCACTTGGCGGTTGAAAGGATGGTGGAATGCAGGAAGAGAGGATAGAGGGGGCGAGTGGGCTCACAGAGGAACAAGCCCCAGTTCACGAGGCACTTGGTGGTGCAAGTAAAGGCATGGCAGGGCATGAAAGAGGGACATGTTTTTTACCGAGGACGAATCTGGAGGCCAGAGGCAATTGGTGGTTGTAGGGAAGCCAGAGTTATCCATGAAGCAAGGTGGGGAGAGGAGAGTGGACTCACCGCGAAAAAATCCCGAATCCTTGAGGCACTCGGTGGTGGAAGGGAGGCGGCCAGGGTTATGCATGAAAGAGGCGCGTTGAAATGTTGCTCACCCAGGGAAGAATGCCGAGTCCGTGAGGCGCTTGGTGGTGGAAGAATGAAGGAGGGAAGTATTATGGGGAGAGTCAAACGCAACGAGGAAGAAGTCCGAGTCCATGAGGCACTTGGTGGTTGGTTTACGAAGGGGGAAGTACTATTGGGAGGGTGAACGCACCGAGGAAGAAGCCCGAGTCCATGAGGCACTTGGTGGTTTTGGCGGAGGGCACGAGGGCGGGCAGCTGGTCGCACAGAGTCACCACCGCCTCTGCTCCCGCCGACACCCCCGACAGCAGCACCTGCGACGCCGTCTTCAGGCCCTTGAAATCTGTCACGTCTGCACGAATTCAGATAAATGAGTAGTGATCTTAAGGATTGTTTGGGTGGTGAATGTATTTGATGTATTGTATTGCTACACACTTGGCAGATGGTTGATGCTTTCAAAGGAAGAAAGCAAAAACGACAGGAAACAACTGCAAAAGATCTCATTAAGGGAAAACCAGAGCAGATTGGACTTGGACACAGTATGAGCATTTGCTTCTAGTGTATGCAACCTAATCACGGTGAAGATGTGGTAAGCTGAATCATACAGTTTCGGTGGGTCTTGAAGCGAGAACAACCAAACCTCGAGAGCTGCAAACACACCTGTGAGGACAGCTTTGATGATTTTCCAACCATCCAGATACACTCCTCCGGTTTCGCTCCACTTCTTGAACCCCGCGCGCCCGGCAAATCCGCCACCGTCGCAGTAAATCGGGACCACGAGATTCCAGTTGTAGAAACGCGGATTCATGACGGGGTTCAGGCTGAGAATACCCATGTAACCCCAATTCGCCTGCAGGCAAGGGTGTAACACCATTTCGTCGTGTAACTGGTACGAGGAAAGCCATTCTGATCCTGGAAACAGTTAGTACTGGAACAACTGGGCGAGAGAATACCACGTATTACAATGAATTATTACAGATTAGTTTGCGAGGTTGTGTGTTCGAAACAGCATATTAGAATTAGATTGTGGAAAAGTGTGTTTTTTTTTTTTTTTTTTCCACGCTTACTGACGAACTGTTTCAACTTTGCACTCACGAATTTCCAGGGGTTCTGGTTTTGCAGAGTTTCGTTAGAAGAGCCGAGCCACGTGTGGCTGCGCCATCTACAGTCCCCCAGCGTGTTGCACCACCCGCCGTACTGCAAGTGCACGTGCCACGAGCTGCTGCCGTTGCCGAATCCCGGGCGGAAATAGTACCCTGGGGGACTGACGGGTGGGCAGAAGTGGGCCCGCGCGGGAATTGGCGGGGTTTGGGACTGAGCGAAAGATACTGCTCGGGAAGTGGAGGGTAAGGAGAAGTTGGGAATGAGGGGGATGGGGGGGAGGAAAGAGGGGGGAGCTGGGGTAGGGGATGCGGGCGGACCGGAAACTGGCGGACTGGGGAGGGAGGCGGAGAGAGTACCCTAGCAGATGCTGGAGGGCGGGGAGGAATTCAAGAACGTAGGCTTATATTGAGGTCTCTTAGTATGCCCACAGCTCGCGGGCTGCGCGTAGCGGTGAGCGAGGTGGCTGCAGATTTTGGAGCGCAGGTGCGGGCAGCGGGGTGCGGGGTGCAGAGGGTGGTGCGCGGAGTGCGGAGTACGGGGACGAGCGCGGGTCCGGAGATCAGACGAAACATGAGTGCTAGAAGAACGAACATGACTTTCAAGAACGAACGAATGACAAATAGAAAGACGTCAGAGGAGGACTACAATCCAAGGATGAAGGGATCTGCGCAAACAAAGCCGCAAGGCCCGATCAAACCGGCAAGTCAAATGAGCGGGAAGCTATCACCTCGAAACTGCCGTCCAACACCACCCAAACTACGAAGTGCGGTGCGGTCCTCCTCCTAAGTACGAGTAGCTCACACGTAGCTTACCTGCCGTCCAGGCATTTGGCGTTGTATCGGTTGTTGGGCAGCAGCGTCAGCGTCAATCCTGTTCTGGCAGAAACGACAGGTCCCGGGATCGATTCTCTCGGCCGGTTTTTCCCCTTCCTACTCGCGGCTTCAACTTCGAGAGTTCTTGTTTGTAGACATAGCACAATAATCAAGAGGAAAACGCTAATCCTTACGGAATGTGCGGACAGTCGTCTCGGCATCTTATTGATATTTTTGTCTTAAAAATTGATAAGTCTTCGAAATATGAAACTGTCTGTACTATACTCTTCTGTGCGGAAATTCAGCAAAGTAACAAACCGGGGTACGCTTGATCGTCTCGTACGGCTAGCATCGTACGGTCACCATCGTTGGTTCATCCCACGCTTGGACAGATCGTACGGTCGCTGTCGTTACGGCGTCGAGATGGCGATCGCGCCCACGCTACAGAGGCCTCGCAGGGCGTAAAGCGCCTGGCGACGCTAAGCGACAGGCAGCTAAACGGCTGAAGAGCGACAGGCAGCTAAAGGGCTGAAGATGCTAAGCGACAGGCTGCTAAACGGCTGAAGATGCTAAGCGACAGGCTGTTAAACGGCTGGTGATGCCAGACGACAGGCAGAGATGCTAAGCGACTGGGCGGTGCTATGCGACTGGGCGATGCTAAGCGACTGGGCGATGCTAAGCGACTGGGTGATGCTAAGCGACTGGGCGATGCTAAGCGACTGGAGATATTCCAAGTGGCTGCCGATTAAGTGACTGGTGATGCCAAGCCGGCAGGCGATGCTAAGCCGCAGCTTAGCTAAGCGGATTCATCGAACATCTTTTTTTGAACGATATGGCGTACGACTGTCTCCACTGGCTACGACTCGTATAGGATATAGCATTAGCATGCCATGTGGCAGTAGTATACAATAGTTACACTAGGATGGCTTAGGCCACTTTAGAACGACTGGGGAAAAGGTACATCCAAGGACATTCACTGAATGGGTCATAGGTGCATAGCCATCGATGTCACGTACTCAGGGGAACTCCTGGACCCCGACTCCGATTCTCCGAGCTCGCTTGAACGGGGCTAGCGAGAGACACGTACTGGTACTGCCCAGAAGCGACGGGAATCACAAGTGTAGTACGGACGGCTAGTGTCCACCACGGTTCGTGAAGTAACTAGCTTGCTACTGACCAAACACCCGATCAAGTACTGAACTGTAATTCCTTGTGCTGAACTCAGTGCCTGGATACATCCGCTTGGCTGGGACTGGTGCGGGGCGAGCACAGTGCGTCGCGTCTGTAATGTACGTTCAGGAGGGTAGGAGATCGGATTGGGGGATTGGAAGAAAAGGACGGTGTTCCGATTTCCAAAATGCGGGGGAAAATGTTGGTAAGCGGCTCGTGAAAGTGTGTGTGCAGGAACGCACGTCCACCGCACCGCATGTGCTGTCGTGGATTGCTTCCTTTGAAAGTACCGGTTTTTGGATCTTCGATAGTGTTACGGGTGCAATGGAACGAGATAGCGAGGATTGCACTAGGTGTCAAACGAGTACAAAGTATGAGCGAAGGCATGAGCGAATACTTATGTGCGAACATGCAAACGGAAACGCGGTGCATGCGAGCTAGCGAGTGCTCGGCTGGCATCGAGGTTCGGGCTAGTCCCGAAGCGTAGGCCGACTCGGCCGGGCCAGCGGTGCATGGTTTGGTAAAACAACGCGCGCGAAGTTGGCGAAGCCCGGTTAGCAGTAACAGGCGAACAATGGCTGCTGCTGTACACGATATTGGCGGTTGCGGTAAGGAATGGCGAGAAAATTCCTTACAGATAGTAAAGCTAGCACCAAAACCGCAAACGAGGTTATACAACTTAGTAGAGGATAAATAAAGAGTACTATCACGAATAAAAATACCATTATGCTACAACATCGCGCAAAAATACCCCATCTTCTTTCATGGTGGTCCAAGCACCGTCCACCATTATTCCATGCTTGCTAGACCAAGCAAGAAACGCCTTACGCTTCTTATCCTCCATGTCACGGACAACCGTCCACATTTTCCGTGAGCATGCAAGGACAGCCCTAGTTGCCTGTAGCGTGCACTTTCTGTTCGTACTCCAGAATGTGAGATCCTTATAAGGTGTGCTTGGAAAGGACCGCCCTAGGCTAGGCATTGCCATTATTTCCTATAGACATTCGTAAGTGAATGTCATGTTATTTGCTGGCAGCTGGTTACCAATCTGCAGAGCCTTGGCATCAAACAACGAGTTGACGATGAAGAAGGATGATCGGACGAATGGGAGGGAGTACTCTGGGAAGAAGCAGCGCCACTTTTCAGTTTTATTATTGGCTGTTGGGAGGAAGAAGTAGGATAAAGAGGGATAAGGATGTGGACCGTGAGATGAACCTGGAAGAAGGGTGTGAATAAGAAGCAAATTTAGGGACAGGGATGGAGAATGAATGGAGTGAGAGAATGTTCTGTCAATACGCCTTTGAGTCAGTTAAAGGGTAATATAATGCGGGGGATGCAGGCGAGGATATGGTATGTGACATGACAACGAAGTAGTTTCTGGATGGGAAGGAAATAGGACTGGGAGTGTCGCTATTCTGGACAGCAACCATGCTGCACGAATCCAGGATTATTGAAACTGACAACACCACGTCTAGAAAGCACCTGCGCGACGTAAATCACTCCAGAAATGAACTCTTGGCTTTCACAGGTCAGCCCAGGCCAAACAGCCACGTCAGCACCCAATTCACAGCTGCAGCCATCATATTTATACCCAACTCGCCTGCCACTCTCCTCTGACAGCCCTTGCCAAGCCACTCACCTTTGCTGCATCGAGGGTTGCCGATGAAATCATGCAGCACAGACAACCACTGCAGCAACCCTTCGCCTGCCACGCACCTCTGAAAGCACTTGCACTCACCTCTGCTGCATCGAGGGTTGCCGATGAAGTCATGCAGCACAACCAGCCGCTGAATCCTCTTGCGGAACGCCGAATGCATGTTCATGTCCAGTGCGTCTGCAAGGCCATAGGCGGCGGGAACAAAATCAGAGAATCCGCGGTGTGAGAGAGGTGTGTGTGGTACACACCACACAGAATCTCGCAGCACCTCCAAGCAGTGAACTCCCTTTTGGAAGACCAATCACTTGCTCATGTGCAAGGCACCTGCAGGCCACCGGGATGAGACACCTTAAACCCTAAAACAAAAGGAGATGAATTCCTTCTCTCTGAGCACAGAATCCCCAGTGCGAAACATGTGGTCCACGCAGCACAGGCAGCTGCTAAATTTTAATTGCGGAGTGCAGATTGCTTGCTTGTTCATGGCTGATGGGTCTGCATGAAAGGGGTGAAAAAGAAACAGCCACGCTCAACCAGGGTTGAAAAAGTCCAACAGACGGTCAAAGAGAGGCAGACAGAAGCCTGTAGGGCCTGTCATAGTTCCAAAAGGTCAAACAGAGACGACAGGGTAAAAAAGAGACCAGAAAGTCAAACAGAGACCAGAAGTTCAAACGAAGTTCACATTTTCAAATAGAGATTACATGGGTACAAACAGTGGTTCGTATAAAAGGAAATGGGTCTCAAAAGAGGACCAAAATAAAGGTGAGGAGTAATCCGTGAGGCAACTTCTGAGGCGCCTCAAAAGAGACACTTTGTGGAAAAGGTGGGAGAAAGAAGCTCATCAGGAGAGAAACCATTGCCCATGTGATGGAAGGAAATGACTTTTGAGTCGACTCGAGAGGAACTGACTTTTGAGTCGACTCGAGAGGAACTGACTTTTGAGTCGACTCGAGAGGAACTGACTTTTGAGTCGACTCGAGAGGAACTGACTTTTGAGTCGACTCGAGAGGAACTGGCTTTTGAGTCGACTCGAGAGGAACTGGCTTTTGAGTCGACTCGAGAGGAACTGGCTTTTGAGTCGACTCGAGAGGAACTGACTTCTGAGTCGACTCGAGAGGAACTGAGAAAGAAGCTCATCAGGAGAGAAACCATAGCCCATGTGGTGGAAGGAAGAGGAGGGAAAGCAAGGTGGTGAGAGTGGACTCACCGAGGAAGAATCCCGAGTCCATGAGGCACTTGGTGGTGGAAGTGTGAGGGAGGGAGGCAATATGGGGAGAGTCAAACGCACCGAGGAAGAATCCCGAGTCCATGAGGCACTTGGTGGTTTTGGCGGAGGGCACGAGGGCGGGCAGCTGGTCGCACAGAGTCACCACCGCCTCTGCTCCCGCCGACACCCCCGACAGCAGCACCTGCGACGCTGCTTTCATGCCCCTGGAGTCTCACACGTCTGTGCACAGATTCACACAGTTGTGTGTGTGTGTGTGTGTGTGTGTGTGTGTTTTTTTTTTTTTTTTTTTTTTTTTTTTGAATGAGGTGCAATTGATATTTTGACAACGTTGCCAGCAAATTAGTTATTGAGGTCCCTCAAAGTGACAATTAAGACATGTAAAAATCGAGTCTCCTTTCAGGAAACGCTTTTGAAAGGAAAAAAACGGAGCAGACTGGCACTAAGAGAACATGAGGGTTGCAATTGCAAGCAATATGTGTCAAACATTATATATGTTGGGTTTGTTAGGCTACAGTGGGTTAGCCTATATGGGGTACACAATTCTAGGGTTTGCTATTTTGTACTGATTTCTCTGTTAGTTCAACCATTCCAGTCCGTTCATTCTGACATGGTTTCAGAGCAGGTCCTTCGCTAGGACCGTTCTTAGGGCCCACCGCTACCTACCTACCTACCTACCTACCTACCTACCTACCTACCTACCTACCTACCTACCTACCTACCTACCTACCTACCTACCTGCGCCTTAGAGCGCCTCGGTTCTTACGGCCCCTTAAGGCCTCGCGCCCTCGTGCGCCTTTCCCCACCGCGCGCGCGCGACCCGCTAGCTACCCGCGCGCGGATCCTTTTTTTTTCGCGCGCGCGGCTCTGTTTCTTGCGCGCGCGGCCCGCTAGTTGCGCGCGTGGCCCGCTAGTCGCCCGCACGCGGCCCGTCAGCCCTTCGCGCGGCCCCTGCTGCTCGCGCGCACCTCGCCGTGGCCCCGCAGGCCCGCAGCTCGCTGCCGCAGCTGCCGCCCGCCCGTCACCCGCAGCCGCCCGTACGCCACTGCCGCTGCCGCTGTCGTACGCTGCTGCCGCTGCTGCTTGCGCACCGCCCACTGTCGCTGCCGCTGCTGTGCCGCCGCCACTGCCGCCCGTGCGCCGCTGCCGCTGCTGCACGTGCGTTACTGCCGCTGCCGCCGCCGCTGCAGCTCCCGCCCGTGCGCTCGCTACCGCTACTCCCGCCGCCCGCTGCAGCTGCCGCCCGTGCGCTACCGCCGCTGCCGCCCGTGTGCTGCTACTGCGGCCGCCATTACCGCGCTCACTGCCGCTGCTGCCCGTGCGCCAAAGCCGCTGCCGCCCGTGCGCCATTGCTGCTGCCGCCCGTGCGCCACTGCTGCTGCCGCCCGTACGCTACCACTCGTTTGCCGCTGCTGCCGGCCCCGTTGACACTGCCCACAGTCTCCCAGCGGCCTCGTTCCTACTGTTTACCTTATACCTACTACTACCGCTCGTGTGCCACTACGGACAGTCGACCCCGCCCGCGCCTTGCCTAGCGGCCCCGCCGGCCCCGTTGACCCTCCGCACACCTTTCCAGCGGCCTGATTCCTACTGCTACTGTCACTATGGCTAGTCCGCCAGTTCTAGCTTTCGATGCCGAGGGCCGTCCAGTGAAGTTCGAAACCTGGCTCGATGACCTGCACCTGTTCCTACAGCTCACTGCCAAGGAAGATATCTCACTGTACGACCACGCCCTAGGCCATGCCACTGCCCCTGACTCGACTGCTGACAGCACTCTGCGTTCCCAGTGGCAGACCCGTGATGCGCACACTCGCTTTGCTATTCGCAACTCCCTGCCGCTAGACGAGCGCGAGCACTTCGGGCAGTGCAAGACTGCTAAGGACCTCTACACCGCTGTAGTTGCCCGCTACTCCTCGCCCGCTTCTGCCACGTTAGGCCGCCTCACTCTCCCCTACCTGTTCCCCGACCTAGCCTCCTTTCACACTGTCGCAGACCTCATCACCCACCTTAAGACTAGTGAGGCCCGCTTTCGCGCTGCTATGCCTGCCGAGTTTCTCACTAGCAACCCCCCCCCCGCTCTGGATCACTCTCTACCACATCGTCACCCGCCTCCCTGACTCTCTGCGCGCAGTCAGGGACCACTTCCTCTCTCGCTCCCCCACTGAGCTCACTGTTGCCCTCCTCGAGAAGGAACTGCTTGCAGCCGAGGCGAGCATAGTCGCTGTAGGCACCTCTCGTGGCGACCCCCGCACCCCGTTCTTTGAGGGGTGTTCCCCTTCCCCCCTCCTCTCCTTTGTCGCCTCTGCTGCTGCTGTCGACCTTCTTGGTGCTGAGAAGGTCGGGACCGCGTCTGCTTCGAGCGGGCGCCGCAGGAACAAGGGCGGCCGGGGTGGGGGTGGCGGCGGAGGAGGTGGGGGTGGAGGCGGTGGGAGTGGAGGCGCGGCTGGGGAGACTAGTGGCGGCAGTGGGGGAGGAGACAGCAGCGGTGGGAGTGGTGGTGGAGGCGGCAGCGGAGGCGGAGGTGGTCGTGGCGGCGGCAGGGGTGGAGGTGGCCGGGGCGGCGGCGGTGGGGGTGGTGGTCGTGGAGGCACTGGCGGAGGGCAGAGTCAGCAGCCCGCCCCGACGCTTCAGGCCGCCCGTGAGTGGTATGCGCAGTGTAGCGTTACCTGCACGTACGTCATTCGCACAGGTGACCGCAGCGGCCAGCAGTGTGGGAGGCCGCACCCCACGCAGCGCTGCTTCGCGCGCCTTAATGACGCGTGGCGCACTCAGTTTCCTGCTGCCACTGAGCTGCCGCGCTGGGCTGATCTGGAAAAGAGGGGTGTTGATATTTGGGCTTTAGACTTTGATGCTATTCTCACTGCCATGTATGCGATGTCTATTAGTGGAGAGGGTGCTCAGTACTTGCGTGTTCCGCCCGACCCGGGCATTCAGGCCAGTCCGGCTGCCGCTCTAGGTGCTAGTGCGTCTGCTCCCACAGGTCCTGGTGAGGCCGCTGCTCTAGGTGCTCGTGCGTCCGTGCCCCCTGGTACTGAGTCGACTGCAGCACTGCACACCTTCACACTGGACTCAGGTGCTTCTCGCTCCTTCTTTCGTGACCGCACTGTCCTTGAGCCACTCGCTCGGCCAGTTGCTGTCTCCCTTGCTGACCCCTCTGGGGGTCCGGTCATTGCGACCTCCTCCACTGTCCTTCCTTGTCCGGCGGTCCCGTCCGGCACGCTGTCAGGTCTCTACCTCCCCTCGTTCTCTACGAACTTGGTGGCAGGTAGTGCGCTCCAGGACGGGGGTGTTCACCAGTTCACCCCTGCCTACGAGCGCGTGACCCACTGCACGTGTGCTCGGACGGGTCGCCACCTGGCTACCTTCACTCGGGAGCCGGGGTCGGACCTTTACACACTGACCACTGTGTCCCCTCAGGTAGCTGCGTCTGCGTCTGCGTCTGCGTCAGGTCAGCTGTCCGCCCCCTGCTCGTGTCGCTCTCTGGCGCATGAGACTGTCCTTTGGCACCACCGCCTTGGTCACCCGTCTGTGCAGCGCCTTCGGGCCATGCACAAGCGGGACCTTGTTGCTGGTCTTCCCAGGGTGCTCCCTCCCCTTCCCGACTCGCCTGCTCCTCCCTGTATTCCCTGTGTCGAGGGACGGCAGCGCGCCGCTCCTCACTCCTCCTCCTTTCCCCCGACGACTGCTCCCTTGCAGACGCTCCACATGGACGTGTGGGGCCCAGCCCGCGTCCGTGGTCAGGGTCAGGAGAGGTACTTCCTGATTGTTGTTGACGACTTCTCGCGCTACACCACGGTCTTCCCCTTGCGCGCCAAGGGTGACGTCCCTGATGTCTTGATCCCTTGGATCCGCAGATCTCGTCTCCAGCTCCGTGAGCGTTTCCGCTCCGACTTCCCTGTCCTGCGTCTGCACTCTGACAGAGGTGGGGAGTTCTCCTCTGGCCTATTGGAGGCCTTCTGTCAGCAGGAGGGCATTGAGCAGTCGTACACGCTTCCGGCCTCTCCACAGCAGAATGGGGTTGCTGAGCGCCGCATTGGTCTGGTCATGGAGGTCGCTCGTACCTCCTTGAGCCATGCAGCTGCCCCCCATTTTCTGTGGCCGTTTGCAGTCCGATACGCTGCGCATCAGCTCAACCTCTGGCCCCGTGTCTCCTTGCCCGAGACTTCTCCGACACTGCGTTGGACGGGAGAGGCTGGCGATGCGTCGCGTTTTCGGGTCTGGGGATCCCGAGCTTTTGTCCGCGACACGTCCGCGGACAAGCTCTCCCGTCGCGCTGTCCCCTGCGTCTTCCTTGGCTTTGTCCCGGACGCCCCTGGTTGGCAGTTCTACCACCCCACCTCGCGGCGTGTCCTGGCCTCTCAGGACGTCACTTTTGACGAGTCCGTCCCCTACTACCGCCTCTTCCCCTACCGCACTGCCCCGCTCCCCCCCCGCCTCTCTTCCTCGCTCCAGGTGCTGAGGTACCAGACCCCCTCCCCCCTCAGGGTGCCGCTCCCTCAGGTGTGTCCCAGGTAGACCCGGGTGAGCCTGTCGAGGTAGCTGTTGACTCTCGTCCTGCTCGGGGTGCTGAGCCTGGGGGTGCTGCGTCTGGGGGTGCTGAGTCTGGGGGTGCTGCGTCTGGGGGTGCTGAGCCTGGGAGTGCTGAGTCTGGGGGTGCGGAGCCTGGGGGTGCTGAGCCAGGAGGTGCGGAGCCTGGAGGTGCGGAGCCTGGAGGTGCTGAGCCTGGGGGTGCTGGGTCTGGGGGTGCTGCGTCTGGGGGTGCTGAGCCTGAGCGTGCTACACCTGGAGGAGCCCTCTCCTCCCAGCAGCTGCAGGAGAGGTACCTCGAGTACTGCCGCCTCCGGAGAGGTGCTGCTGGAGCTCGTCCCGGTACTTCCCCTCCTACCCAGGAGCTCCCCCCCATTCAGCAGATCCGCGAGTGGTACACACGCCGCTGCAGTCTTCGGAGTGGTGCTCCTGGTGCTGCGGACCCTGGGGGTGGCGCTGCTGCTGGTGCTGAGGACCCGGACGTTGGAGCTGCTGCTGGTGCTGCGGACCCGCCTGGTGGAGCTGCTGCTGGTGCTGAGGACTCGGACGTTGGAGCTGCTGCTGGAGCTGAGGACCCGGGCGGTGGTGCTGCTGCTGGTACTGAGGACTCGGACGGTGGAGCTGCTGCTGGACCTGAGGACCCGAGCGGTGGCGCTGCTGCTGCTGCTGAGGACCCGGACGTTGGAGCTACTACTGGTGCTGAGGACCCGGCCGGTGGAGCTGCTGCTGGTGCTGTGGACCCGGCCGCTGGAGTCTCCTCTGCTTCTGGAGACGCTGCGCGGCCGCGACCGTACTTCGTACCGCTCCTTCAGCAGGTTCTTGGGCAGGCTCCTCCTCCTTGTCCTCCTCCCTCCGTAGAGTGTCCTCTGCCTGTCCAGTCGCAGTCACAGTTACCGCCTCCCTCGCCTCTCCCTGCTCCCTCTCCTTACACTGGTCCCACAGGAGGTCTTACAGAGCGTCGTGAGCCTCAGTCTCGTCCTGCGTCGCCTGTTCGTCCTGCTCGCACTGGTAGTCGTGTCCGTCGTGAGCGTCCTCCTCCTGTCCCAGGCACTCACTACATGACTCTGCGTCCCTCTACTGCTCCTCAGCGTGTCCCTCTACCGTCTCCTCCCGCGTCTTCTTTGCCTCACGTTCCGGACCCTGAGTCTGACCGGTACCGTGCTGAGCACCCTACTGTCACGCGTCTCCTCGCTACTGTTGTCACTGACCCTACCTTTGAGTCCTCGACTGCGTCTGCTCTGGTCGCTGAGTTGGTTGACTTTGCTGCTGCCTGTCGTCTAGACTACGCTGCTAGCCTTGTTGCTGAGTCTGAGTCTGAGTCTGTCTGTCCTCCGTCCGTCGGGGGTGAGTGTGCTCTTGGCACGGACGTCCTTGAGGACAGACAGGAGGAGTTCCAGTGTCTTGCTGCTGCTTTGCCCCGTCTCGTGTCCTTGCTAGTTGCCCCTGAGGGAGACCCGGATGCACCAGACATCCCGACCCCACGCACTTACGCTGAGGCGATGGCGGGTCCCTACTCCTCTCAGTGGCAGACGGCCATGGACGCCGAGATGGCTTCCTGGAAGTCCACACGCACCTACGTCGACGAGGTTCCCCCTCCTGGGTCGTTTCCTCCTGGTACCCAGTGGAGGCTTCAGCGGCCGGTCTACGGTCTCCGCCAGGCTCCGCGTGAGTGGCACGACACACTGAGGACTACACTTGCGGCTCTTGGGTTCGCGCCTTCTACAGCTGACCCGTCGCTGTTCCTGCGCACCGACACTTCGTTGCCGCCGTTCTACATCCTCGTGTACGTCGACGACTTGGTCTTTGC